GACCCTAGTTCTTTTTGACCGTGTACCCTTCGTTCTTGGCTGCCTGTTCATTTTTGCCCTCTGCACGGGTGTGCGTAAGGCGAATGTTACTGAAACGACAACCAATAAAGTCGCATTCCTTCTTATGTTTCACGGTGTCGGGCTTAGCAGTACCAGCGAAGGATACTTTCGCCTTCGCCCGCGCGGGAGGACCCCGGGATTTGGAATTATTCTCATCACGTTGGTCGGTCCCCCGCTGAGCACGCCCACGTTGCGCGCCGTATGCTCCACCACTGGACACGAACGCTTCCTGCCCTGAAATATAGTTTTCAATGGCAGTGATGCGGTCCTTGTTGTCGTCCGCCGTACTTTGGAGCTGCCCGGGAGGAGCAGAACCGTATACGGTCGAGGCGGTAGCCGAGATGGGGGCAGGGGGAGAGCGCAGTTTATTGGACTCGTGTCTACGAGCACGCGCTTTCGATTCCATGAAAGAATCGGATGGGTCTGCCCGCATCATTTCCCCGCGAATGTGGGGGTGCACACCGTTTTCGAAAGATGCAGTGAATGCTTGATTGAAAGCGTGTTCATGGGGTGGTACATTCAGCGGAGCTGTGCTTTCGGCTTCGGCTAGAAGTCTGGCATAGGCGCGTGATACTCTGAGCGCAAACACGTCAACTGATTCGCTAGTCTTCGCTTCTAATGTCCTGACGTCACGTGCAAGAAGAGCAATTCGGTTGGCGGGAGCGACCGATGTGGTGAAAGCCGTGACCCATTCCTCCCATGTTTTCGGAGGTGTGATTCGGACTGCTTCCCCACGTGCACGCAACGCATTTAGCTGAGCTGGCGGTCGCCATTCGAGAGATGAGCTAAGCATGAGGCTGAGACTTTGAGCTGCGGCACCTCGCACGAAGAGCGCGAGATGTTTGATTGCGCGGTGATCGATTGTGCTTTGAGAGACGTTGTCTGCAGACAACAGACCGATGTGTGCCCTGCAAAGTGCCATTTTTTCTGGAACATCTTCGTGAGGCAGACCCTCGAGCTTGAGATCAGGAGGTAGGTCAGTAGCTTTCAAAGTAAATCGCGCCGTGCTTATCACGTCCTGGTTTACCGTGGTCTGGGTTACCGGGGTAGGGTTGTCCTGGTTTACGGTTTGCTGGTTTACCTGGTTCGGTGGGGCCTGGTTTACCGTGTTGTGGTGTACCGGGTTAATAGGTGAAGTTGTCGGTGTAGACATATTCCTAGCAGGAGTCTGTTGAACACTTGCTGTNGCAAAGTGCCATTTTTTCTGGAACATCTTCGTGAGGCAGACCCTCGAGCTTGAGATCAGGAGGTAGGTCAGTAGCTTTCAAAGTAAATCGCGCCGTGCTTATCACGTCCTGGTTTACCGTGGTCTGGGTTACCGGGGTAGGGTTGTCCTGGTTTACGGTTTGCTGGTTTACCTGGTTCGGTGGGGCCTGGTTTACCGTGTTGTGGTGTACCGGGTTAATAGGTGAAGTTGTCGGTGTAGACATATTCCTAGCAGGAGTCTGTTGAACACTTGCTGTCGTGTGCATGCCAGAGCGATTGTCTGCTTCTAGATCGGGGGCAAGCGAACGCGGATTCACCTTCTGGATGTCTTGCTGGTGAGCGGCTCCCGGCATAAGCATGCTAAGGACCCATGCCGGCGGGGCCTTCTCCGCCTCCACTGCCTTTGACACCGCTCTGACGAGGACGGCCTCCAGCGGTCCGCCGCTTGCCAGGAGCGGTGAGCTCTGCTGACTAGCGGCGTCGGCGCGGTTCTGCAGGATGTCGTGCGCAAGGTCGTCGTCGACGTCGTCGTCATCGTCATCCTCAGGGGTTGGGTCGGTGTCGAGGTTGCCCGCCTCGGCGCCGTCGCTAGTGCTGCTGTTATTGTCGCTGTGGCGACCCTCACCAACCAGTGCGTGAAATATCCGCGATGGTGACCGCTCTGCGAGGGTGCTGCGCTCGCAGACGCCCCGGCGGATTCTCCCGTTTGGGTAGGCTTCGGCTGTCCCTCTTGGGGCTTAGCCGAGCCATGGTTGGTGTTAGCAGTAGCGTCGGGACGCGGCATGGCTGGCGGTTTGGGTGTCGTCAGCTGCTTAAGCTTTTTCGGCTGTTGCTGCTGTTGATGTGACCCTACGTCCTTTTTCTTCCCTTGTTTCCTTGGACTGCCCATGTTTCACACGTGGGTTGCAAAGATAGAAACCTTCGTCGAACGCCAATATGGATGCCCTCTACTCTGGGTGAGCGGAGAGTCCGGGGTTGTGGTGGCTATGTCCTGCCACCGGAGGTTGGCTATTTCCTTTGGTGCAATGTGGCGAGGAATGCCAAGCGTGACCGAGCGAACTCTGTCAAGCTAGGGTGGTGCGGAGAGTGGGCGAGCCTTCGTGGACTCCTTTTCCCATTCTCCTAAAGATCCATCAACTCTTCGCAGCCGTTGGGGTCATAAGAGTTGGGCACCCTCGGAGAACAGTAATCTATTATCACTTGTTCCCTCAGATCCTACTCTTTATGTACGTGTATCTGTGCTCCCTGAATCTCCATATCCTGACCTCCACAGCTTGGGTGGTCGTTTCCTTCTTGCGTCGCTGGCATGGTGGGGCTGTTTGCAGGTGTGGAGTTTCGGGATGCTACACGGGGGAGCGTAGAGAGACGAAAATAGTGGAGTGAGGATATTCCGCGGATTTCAAGACACCGCCGGGTAACACGGGAGAAACTGCCGGATATCAGCTCGAACCGCCGGGTATCACACGCACCCTTGTC